GTCTGGCCTGCCCAGTGGAGGTTCATTCACTTCTCTCCCTCCCCCGCGCAGCCCCCCAAGGTCCAAATTTGCCTCCCTCTCACGTCATTTCCGTATTTCTGACCATAAACGCCTGCTCTTCAGATTCTCTTTCCAACCAGCGATCACGTCGGCCAGGTTCCCTCCCGAGTCAAATAAAACCTTTAGCGCGTGTTCATTTTCCACCATAAGACAGGCCTGCTTTATCCGTCCTGGAACGATCCTTTCGTGTGCCTTCGCGCTGGGCCCCAGCCCTCCGCCAGGAGCAGGCACTGAATGAGAAGCATTTTCCTTTTCTATTTTGGTGAATCCTCACCCGAGGATATTTTTCCATTGATTTTTAGGGAGAGTGGAAGAGAGAGGGAAAGACGGAGAGAAACATCGATTGGTTGCCTTCCGCATGCGCCCTGACCTGGGCCCGGGCCGGGGTGGAGCCTGCCATCCTGCTACGTGCCCTTGACCGGGATCAAACCCGGCCCCTTCGGTTCTGTCCGACGCTCTGTCCACTGAGACAAACCAGCGAGGTTTCTAGTTTTTATCTCAGATAACCTATTAGCCACAAAATTGCTTCGAGGTGGTGCCCATGCTGCCAAAGAACCCGGGGTGGGTGGGTGTGGGGGGGAGGCGTTATCACAGATCCCCGTCCCGGTGGGAGGTGTGGCCTGGGCTTTCACCGTGACCATCACCCCGATGCGTGTTCCGGGGGACACACAGGTGCAGGAGGGCTGAGGTCTGGGACAGAAGCCACAGCCGGTGTCACCTGCTCCCCACCAGCCCTCTGCTCACCCCGCACACACCAGGCACCCTGAGGCCGGTGCTGGGCCTGGAGGGACACGGGGAATGAAAGCCACGACCCGCGGGCCTATGAGCAGCCCCCCCAGCATCACCGTGTAGGGCCTGGAGTCTCCCCACGGAGGTGCAGTTGACTAACTCATTGGCCGCTAGGGATGGACTCAACCTCCAGCCCTCTCCCCGCCTGGAGCGTGGGGAACGGGGCGCACAGCTCCACCCTCTCCCCAGGACCCGGCGTTCCCACGGCCGCCCCTCCTGAGCGAGGAGACACTCTCCTCACGGCCCAGACTCCAGGGGATTTAGGCACCGTGTGCAGGGACCAGGGACAAAGACCAAATATTTATTCTTTTTCAAATTATATACATGTTTTATTGACTTCAGAGAGGAAAGGAGAGAGAGAGAAACATCAATGATGAGAGAGAATCATGGACCGGCTGCCTCCTGCACGCCCCCACTGGGGATTGAGCCCACAATCGGGGCCTGTGCCCCGACCAGGAATTGAACCATGACCTCCTGGTTCAACCACTGAACCACATGGGCCAAATATTTATTCTTCCTTATACCTCCTGCCCTGGATGCTCAGAGCCAGGGCGGTGGGAGCACAAAGGCAGGGCCTGTGCGGAGGGCGGGGTAGGGGTCCCGGAGCAGGTGAGGTGCTGGGCCAGGTGGAGGGCACAGGGGCCGGGGGAGTCCCCTGAGAGGCCCTCTGAGCTGTCGCTCTCCCTGAACCAGGGTGAGGAAGCGCGCGGACCTGACCGGAGCCTTCAAGCTGGACCCCGTGTACCTGCGGCACGGCCACCAGGACTCCGGTGAGCGCCTCGCGGTCCGCGTCTGCCCCCAGGGCTGGGGCAGGGCTGTGCGCGGGCCTCGCACAGCTCAGCGTTTCCCGCAGGCCCTGGGCACCTGGGGTGGGAGGGGGCGGACTGACCGTGAACGGAGCAGTTAGGCCTGTGCCCCCATGTGTCTGACGGTTTCTCTTCCTCTCTCTCTCCCAGGGCTCATCACTGACTACAGGGTAAGTGGTCGCTGCGTCCCGTCCGTCCGCTGCAGTGCAGGGCCCTGTGGTGCAGACGGGAGGCGGGGCTGGGCCTGTGGCAGCCCCAAGCCCTGCTGGTCCTGTGGCCTCGCATGATGGGGGGCCCACTAGAGGACACGCCCTCCCGCATCCTGACAGCAGAGGCCAGGCGGGCAGCTCTGCTGAGCTCTGGCCACGGGAGGGAGTCAGCTCGGTGGGAACTTCCCCGCGGGGACGGGGACTCTGCACTCTGGGCCTCCAGGGACGGGCGTGTCCTTGGACGGAGCGGCCCTCGTCCAGGGGACCTGGTCTCGGTGGAGCGGGCATCACCGCAGTCCCCTGGCAGAGGAGTCAGGCTGGGCGGTGGAGAAGCTGCTGCCCTAATCGGAAGGCAGAGCTGGGACCTGGGCTGGGGCCCGCCCACCCGCCTGGCTCCCATGCTGTCGGGTGAGGGAGCTGCGTCTCCCTCTGTCCGTCTGGGCGACTTATGCCGAGTGGATCGGACAGCCCGGGGACAGGCTCACGTGCTGTCCACCGTGGAGGCCGAGTGCCCAGCGTCGCTCATGGGACGCCCACGGAGCGAGCACTGACGGGCAGAGGCCTGTGGGCGCCTCGGGCGGAACGGGTCCTCCTGGTGGTTTAAGCACGGGAATCACACTACTTCTCCCACGGAAGGTCACGGAGTGATGGCTGCTCTGGCCGGGCGAGGGGCTGGGCTGGGAATGGAACAGACAAAACCGAGTCCCTGTCCCCTCAGGACTCGGGGTCTGGGGGGAGGTAGGGAGCAGGGGGACGAGGCTGGGTGCAGAGGGAGTGTCAGCTCTAAGCGGCATCTGCCCCTCCGGGCTGCCCCCAGCTCTCCACGGCGCCCCGCCCAGCTCCGGCCCGGTGTGCGCTCAACAGCGGGCCCTGAGCTCACAGCACCGTGGGCAGGGCCCCTAGGGGTTGGGCAGGGTGCAGACTTCAGGACACGCTGTCAAGTAATGCTCTGGTGTGAAACGAACGTTTATTTTCTCAGTGGGGGCGCCCCTGGCCCCGCTGCTGAGGCTGTCTGTCCCCCGCAGCACTGGCAGCTGCCGCTGGGACGCAGGTTCCGCTCCCTGAAGATGTGGTTCGTGTTCCGGCTGTACGGGGTCACGGGCCTGCAGGCCCACATCCGCAAGGTGACTTTCCCACTGTCTCTGGGAGGTGGGACTTTCTGTATTTTCAATATATTTTATTGATTTCAGAGAGGAAGGGGGAAGAAGGGAGAAGAAGAGAGGGAGGAAGAGGGAGGGAGAGAGAAACATCTATGACGAGAGAGAATCAGGGGGCGGCTGCCTCCTGCATGCCAGCAGCCAAAGCGTGAGCCCCGACCGGGAATGGAGCCCTGACCTCCTGGTTCACAGGGTGATGCTCAACCCCTGAGCCCCGCCCCTGCTTTTTTTTTCTTTTAACAATTGAGG